CTTTTGCGAATATTTGGAAAGAGCCATATTAGATTGGCCAATCCTAATAGTTGCCTATTTAAACCACTGAGTAAGACATGTTAGTTCTACATTAGACTGAGTCATACATTTATTTGCGTAACTGGAAATGAAAACCAGTTTGCGTATTGTTTCTAACCTTAGGAGTGCGGGATCAGACCTTGCTTCCAAAGCAGTGTTTATGTATTCCTCACTTACCTGGTCCTGGGAGGGGAGCTGCTCTGTCTTTCCTCCCGCACGGTTATCTGCAAAGAGCGCTGGGAAGAAGCTACGTCATTGCGTGTGACCTCACTTCCTAGCAGCACTGGGACTTCAGAGGGAGGGAAGAGAGTGAGGGAGGGTTGCTGCACGCACATCGCAAATGGGGCCCCTCTTCACTAATATGGGGCCTCGCTCATTCCGGGACATTACATTGTACCCAGGACGCAGGACAGACCCACAAAATCCGGGACACGTTAGCACCCCAGCTGTGTCTTAATTTAGTTACATATGCTATGGTAAAAAAAAAGGATATCCAAAAAAAGTTACAAAACTAAAATAAATTGTTAAAAAACTGAATCTATCATGATTCTCAGATTTCCACTTTAACCCATTCCTGATTGTTAGGACAGCACACTAACGATCGGGCCCTCCTGGCAGCTGGATCAGCATGGGGGGGTTCGGCTGGCAACTGATCCCATGATCACATGACTCGGATCGGCGTGATTGACAGATTGCCTGACTGGTTTGCCAGGCAGATCCCCCATTCTAAGTGTATTTTGATATCGATATATATATAATTATATATTAATATCAAGATACTTTTTTTATTATATATACTTAATTTAATTCTGAGTGTATTATATCTAGTGTATATATATATTTATATAATTTTGTATTTTTTCTAAATATCAAAATACACTTATAATGAAATAATGTATATGTACATGTGTACAAAACCTGGGGTTCCGCACTTAATGTTTCTCAACTTGTTTCTCAACTTACTTTCTCCTGGTGTAAATTCTCCAACTGAAAAGTTATAACTCAGCACTTTTGATCAATACCAAGTCTCCCAAGTGCTCTCTTACTTGCTTAGTTATATATATATATTTGATTCTAAATGTCTCATATATTATTTATGCATCTTTAAATTATTTTATTAATAATATATTGAGGCAGAAATATCAGAGAATTTAACTTACAAGCCCTATATTTGACACTGTCATTATTCAATTCACCATAGAACCTGTATATAGGGAGTAAAGCTGTACTCGTGAGACATTGCTGAACTTAAATAGGTGTGTTTTAGAGCAGTAAAATGTATAATGACGATAATATCATCAGTGAAAATAAAGTTTTTGTGAAAAATGCAAAAAAAAAAAATATGAACACTAGTTTTGGCCTGAATTTGTTACTAAGTGACTACTAAAAAGACTGGACACCGCATTTTGAATAGCCTGGGTTGTCTACTTTTGCAAATGGTATGCAATGATAGTGGTAATTCTCATTCCTGGGTTGCCATATGGTCTTAAAGGCAACATAACCAATCTGACAAATTTCAATGTATAAAAACTGAAAAGGGGAAAGCCCTATATTGGACCCTGTAACTTTCCAAAACCCCATAAAACCTGTACATGGGGGGTACTGTTGTACTCATGGAACATCGCTGAACACAAATATGAGCAGTACAAAGTATAATGACGATGATATCATCAGTGAAAATGCAGTTTTTGTGAAAAATTGCAATAAACAAATATGAACACTAACTTTGGCCAGAGTTTGTGACTAAGTGGCTACTACAAAAAATTGGACATACCCCATTTTGAATACCCTGAGTTGTCTACTTTTGCAAATGGTATGCCATGATGGGGGTAATTTTCATTCCTGGGCAGCCATACAGTCTCAAAGGCAGCATAACCAATCTGGCGAATTTCAATGTGAAAAAACTGAAATGGGCAAGCCCTATATTTGATCGTGTAACTTTTCAAAACACCATAGGGGGCATCATTGTACTCGTGGGACATCAGAGCATACAAATATGTGTATTTTATTGCAATGAAAGCTAACAGTATTATGGCATTCACAGATCAAATGCCACGCAGAACTTGGAAAATAACATTTCTTAATTTCTCACACTTTTTTTAGATTTTATTCATATAAAATTTAGTTTCATATATAAATATTTGATGTGAAATGAAAGCCTTTCTCCTGAACAAAATTATATATAATAAGTGTGGGTGGATATAATATTAAAGAGGTAACTTATGGTTGAACACAGGGCCAGATTAAGAGCCCAGTGGTCCTGGTGCTGACAATTATGACGGGCCTAATTACAAAATCATATCGACCAAAAACAGTAAAACACTCCCAAGCATCATATACCTGATGGAGATGGTGCTGGAGAGAAAGAAAACAGCAGCTATAAGAAAACACATACCCTAGGCTAATCTCTCTCTAATTTATGTTTTCATCTTTCAAGTAAATCCATAATCCCTAACAGCAGTGTCCAGTCAAGCAGGAAGTCAATGGGCATGGTAAAAGGTTGTGCCACTGACACAAATCACGTAACCTGCCAAAAGGGGCGAACATGCCCAAAAAGAGGACATGTCTGCTCAAAGAATTAGAAGGCCAGCCTGGTATGAATGCATGTCAGGCTGCCTGCCAATCATGCAGCTGGCCAACTAAGGGCATACTATGCAGACAGCACCCTGAGCTTGGCATAAATGCATCTAATGATGCGCTCACTCAACGCTTTCTAAGGACTGTCCCCTAGCACTCGCTGGTCCACTTGTCTCCTTACCTTCTTACTAGCAGGCAGAAGCTCCTGGTACATGGTCTGGGACAGAGAAAAGCTGTATGTAGTGAGTGTAGAAGAAAGGGAACATGCCACAGTGTTAGAGAGACCAAAGTCAGCATTACCTTAAAGGATAACTATAGGGTCAGGAACACAAAAATGAATTCCTGACCCTATAGTGTTAACACCACCATCTAGCCCCCCTGGAACCCTCATGCCTCCATAAATATAGCAAAATCTTACTATATTCAAGCATGAAGCTGTAACTCTGCATGCTGTTAGACTCATAAAAACAAGCAGTCTGTTGACATCTTTAGAAGTGGTGGCCTGATCCAATCACAGTGCTTCCCCATAGGATTGGCTGAGACTGACAAAGAGGCAGATCAGGGTCAGAGCCAGCATGATTCAAACACAGCCCTGGCCAATCAGCATCTCCTTATATAGATTAATTTCATTAATGAATCTCTATGAGGAAAGTTCAGTATCTGCATGCAGAGGGAGGAGACACTGAATGTTTGGATGCATTTTAGGCAGCCATGACACAGGAAGGATCTCTAACAGTCATCTAAGGAGTGGCCAGTGAAGTTATCACTAGGATGTAATGTAAAGACTGCATTTTCTCTGAAAAGACAGTGTTTACAGCAAAAAGCCTGACGGTAATGATTCTACTCACCAGAACAAATTCAATAAGCTGTAGTTGTTCTGGTGACTATAGTGTCCCTTTAACTATATTCATTGTCAGCCAGTCCACACAAGTTTTGTTCCCATACATCCCTCTTAAGTTTCCATACTTAATTAAGAGTATGTGAAAAGTAGTTAGGGTTGCCACCTTTCTTGGAAAAACATACCGGCCTTACTAATTTGCATAATTAAATATGTACGGATGACATCACATGATGTAAATCACAAGGAGTGACATAAGAGAAAATGCTGTAAAATCACCAAAAACTACTTAGTTTGATTCTCAGTGTCTGCCATAATGTCTCCCAATGTCCCTTAGTGTCTCAGTGTCTGTCATAATGTCTCCCAATGTCCCTTAGTGTCGAAGTGTCTGCCATAATGTCTCCCAGTGTCCCTTAGTGTCTCAGTGTCTGCCATAATGTCTCCCAATGTCCCTTAGGGTCTCAGTGTCTGCCATAATGTCTCCCAGTGTCCCTTAGTGTCTCAGTGGCCTGCCATGTGTCTCCCAGTGTCCCTTGAGTGTCTCAGTGTCTGCATAATGTCTCCCAGTGTCCCTTAGTGTCTCAGTGTCTGCCATAATGTCTCCCAGTGCCTTCTCTGCCAATGTCCCTTAGTGTCTGTGTCTGCCATAATGTCTCCCAATGTCCCTTAGTGTCTCAGTGTCTGCCATAATGTCTCCCAATGTCCCTTAGTGTCTCAGTGTCTGCCATAATGTCTCCCAGTGTCCCTTAGTGTCTCAGTGTCTGCCATAATGTCTCCCAATGTCCCTTAGTGTCTCAGTGTCTGCCATAATATCTCCCAATGTCCCTTAGTGTCTCAGTGTCTGCCATAATGTCTCCCAATGTCCCTTAGTGTCTCAGTGTCTGCCATAATATCTCCCAATGTCCCTTAGTGTCTCAGTGTCTGCCATAATGTCTCCCAATGTCCCTTAGTGTCTCAGTGTCTGCCATAATGTCTCCCAGTGCCCCTTAGTGTCTCAGTGTATGTCTCCTTGCAGCCTTTCCCCCATCCCTTACTTCCCTGAGCTGTAGGCTGTCTCTGCAGGGTGGGAGTTGCTGTCTGGACTCTCTGTAGCTGCACCCCTGCAGATCAGTGAGTATAGATAGGCAGGGAGGGATATGCTGGAACTTCCTATCCCTGCCTGTCTCCACACACAGTGACCCCTACTGGCCAGTGCTGGTATTGCATAGTAATCTCTTGTTTATACTGATAAAAATACCAGCATTTGTATTGCCAGTATCGCTGCAATATTGGCACCAGCCAGGCAGCCTCAAATACTGTCTGTGCCAATAAAATAAAAGCCAGGTGGAATCCCTAAGAGTAGTGTGTGAAAAAAAAAATGTAAAAAAAAAAAAATTTTTTTTTTTTTTTTAAATCAATGGGCCTATTCCATGGGCCTGGGCCTGGGCCTGGAGCTGCAGCTCCATCAGCCCCTATGTTAATCCGGCCCTGGTTGAACAGACATGTAGCTTCAAAGCTAGGCTTTGTTTTAGTTCAGAACATGGACAATTGTCTCCGTCCTTAAGGGGTTAACCCTTTAAGGACGGAGGGCGTGCTATGCCGTCCTTGGGGACCCAGCTCTAAACGCCGGCGGGCGGCATAGGACGTCCACCCCGTCCTATTCACTTAACTGCTCACCGGCGATCGCAATGGGGGGACTTACCTGGCATCCCAGGGAGTCCCCCTGCTGCCGATTCGGCCCTCCTGGGCCATGTGATCGCGAGGTCCTTGCGAGAACCTCCTGGGCCATGTGATCGCAAGGTCCTTGCGAGGACGGAATAGCCATCCATAGAAGTGCCAGCAGGGGGAGTGCCTGGAATGACAGGTAGTCCCCCTACTGCCTGAAATAATTTTCAATAAAGTTTTAAAACAGTTTAAAATAAAATAATATTTACTTAGATCATACATAAACTGTGTAAGTATATTTTAATATTTATATATATATTAATATCAAAATACATGAAGAATGATATTAATTAAATATATATAATTATATATATATAATATAAAATAAAAAAATAAATACAAAAAATGTATCAATTTATACCGCACTCACATGCATAAAAATGCATGAAAAAAGAAAATCACTGTGTAAATAAGCAAAAAAATTATTTATTGTACACTAAATCCCAAAAATTCATGAAAGTAAAAAAAAAAAAAGGAGACCACTATTACTAAATATATAAATTGATGATCTGACCATTAACAGATTTATTTAACCAATCATTGTTAACAGGAGTAGTCCCAGAAGATTGGAAGTTAGCGAATGTTGTGCCCATTCACAAGAAAGGTAATAGGGAGGAGTCGGCAACTATAGGCCAGTAAGCCTTACTTCAGTAGTGGGGAAAGTGATGGAAACCATGTTAAAGGATAGGATTGATGAACATCTAAAAACACATGGATTTCAAGATCAGAGACAACATGGGTTTACTTCAGGGAGATCATGCCAAACTAATCTTATTGATTTTTTTGATTGGGTAACTAAAATAATAGATCAGGGTGGTGCAGTAGATATTGCTTACCTAGATTTCAGTAAGGCTTTTGACACTGTTGCACATAGAAGGCTTATCAATAAATTGCAATCTTTAAGTCTGGATTCCAATATTGTTGAATGGGCAGTAGCAGTGGCTGAGTGATAGGCAACAGAGGGTTGTAGTCAATGGAGTATATTCGAAGCTTGGACTTGTCACCAGTGGAGTACCTCAGGGATCTGTACTTGGACCCATTCTCTTGAATATTTTTAGTAGTGATATTGCAAAAGGACTTGATGGTAAGGGATGTCTTTTTGCTGATGATACTAAGATATGTAATAGGGTTGATGTTCCAGGAGGGATAAGCCAAATGGCAAATGATTTAGGTAAACTAGAAAAATGGTCAGAGCTGTGGCAACTGACATTTAATGTGGATAAGTGCAAGATAATGCATCTTGGATGTAAAAACCCAAGGGCAGAGTACAGAATATTTGATAGAGTCCTAACCTCAACATCTGAGGAAAGGGATTTAGGGGTGATTATTTCTGATGACTTAAATGTAGGCAGACAATGTAATAGAGCAGCAGGAAATGCTAGCAGAATGCTTGGTTGTATAGGGAGAGGTATTAGCAGTAGAAAGAGGGAAGTGCTCATGCCATTGTACAGAACACTGGTGAGACCTCACTTGGAGTATTGTACGCAGTACTGGAGACCGTATCTTCAGAAGGATATTGATACCTTAGAGAGGGTTCAGAGAAGGGCTACTAAACTGGTTCATGGATTGCGGGATAAAACTTACCAGGAAAGGTTAAAGGATCTTAACATGTATAGCTTGGAGGAAAGACGAGACAGGGGGGATATGATAGAAACATTTAAATATATAAAGGGAATCAACACAGTAAAGGAGGAGCCTATATTTAAAAGAAGAAAAACTACCACAACAAGAATACATAGTCTTACATTAGAGGGGCAAAGGTTTAAAAATAATATCAGGAAATATTACTTTACTGAGAGGGTAGTGGATGCATGGAATAGCCTTCCAGCTGAAGTGGTAGAGGTTAACACAGCGAGGGAGTTTAAGCATGCATGGGATAGGCATAAGGCTATCCTAACTATAAGATAAAGACAGGGACTAATGGAGGTATTTAGAAAATTGGGCAGACTAGATGGGCCGAATGGTTCTTATCTGCCGTCACATTCTATGTTTCTATGTTTCTATGAATTAATCTATAATACATGTGACAAAATTTCATAATATATACATCCCAGACTATTTACAGCTATATACAGTCCATAAACACCATATGCATGAGGTTGAAAGTTCATAAATAATCAGGTGGATCCACCACTTGATTATTATCCTGAGGTAAAGAGGCAAAAATTGAAAAATGAAAAAAAAAAGACAAAAAATAAGAAAAAGACAAAAAAAATTAACAAACGGGAAAAAATTAAAAAAATGAGAAAAAACTGACCAAAAAATGAGAAAGATGAAAACACTAAAGAGTTCAACAGACTGAAAAAAATGCACTATTTAAATGATGAAAAATGGTTGGATCTCACCACATATTGTATATGCTGTAGATGTGGACCAAAAGAGAGGTGTTCAAAAGAATATCTCTTAATCAGGAGAAGTAGTAATGGGAAATGATCCTCATCCAATCCGGTCTGTAGTTCCGGTCTCTGCTCTCACGTGTCTCGTGTATGGATGGGCTAAAAAAAATATATATAAATACGTAAAAAATTTAATAAATAATAAAATATATATATATATATATATATATATATATGTGTGTGTGTAATTTCGTTCTAACTGTATTTTGATATTAATATATATTGATATCAAAATACACTTATAACGAAATAATATATGTATACATAAATAAATATATATGTATATATCACTATATATATACATATATAAAAATAACAATAATTTTAAAAACTTATATATATATATATATATAATATAATATTAATAAATGTAATATTTTTACAAAATTAAGTAATTTTATTAATTACAATTTGCAGGACCTGCCTGATAACCCAGGCAGAAAGTTCAGGGAATTTTATTTGCTAGCACCATATTTAACCCTGTAACTTTCCAAAACACCATAAATCCTGTACATGGGGGGTACTGTCGTACTCTGAAGACTTTGGTGAATACAAATATTAGTGTTTGAAAACAGTAAAATGTATTACAACGATGATATCATCAGTGAAAGTGATTTTTTTTACATTTTCCACACACTAACGGCACTTACA